TCCTTCAGAATTCTTCGGAAGTGTAGTCGCTAGGCCAAATGGCGACACTGGGGACTCTTGCATCAAACCCATCAAACTCTCTGAACCTCTTCTGGAGCTGCGAAGACTATGCTGCCAACACGTTGCTGCCACCGTCTTCACAGTCTCTACACATTGGTTCAAGGCCTCAAGCTGCTTGACCTGCTCTCGTAGCACGGACGCTTCGGCAGCAGCGGCAGCCTTGTCGAGTAGGCTGAGGGCTTGGCTAGGGTGCGGCAGTAATCGAATGGTCGACCGGATCAACAACTTGGCAATGGCTAACAAGTCAGGAATTGATTTCGATACATGCCTCTTTTGCTGGCTGCCAAGATAATAACAAAGCACACTGTGACTTCAACCTTGGAGAAGCTGCAGCTTCGACAGCCAAGATCCATGGCGCAAAAAGTTTCTGCCCCCCTGCTGAAGATGTTACACTTGAGAATCGTCAAGCCCGGCCTCTGCGACTTTCAGCTTCTCGCGTAGCTCCTGGACTCCATCGCGGATTGCGGATGCCATCTCGTCCTGCACATGCCATGGCATCTGTATGCACAACACGTCTCCCCTCGTGCAAGTATTTGATGGACCGGCAAACGCGGAATCTGTTTTACTTCTGCTCGTTGGAGGGCCTCCTGCTTCTTGAGCTGGTCTCTCAGTGCGGATGCATCGGCGGCTGCTGCAGCCTGTTCGGAGGCGGAACTAATAGCTCATAAACAGCACAACTCGGCCGGTGCTCTGCTGCGATGGCTCCTGCCTGGTCTGCTTGCATTGCAGCATCCCGCGCCGCTGCCTCCCACGTCAGGTTCCAGATGCTTTTGTACTTGTGAGAATCGCAACATGCACATCGCAGAAGCTGCCGTGTAGAGGCACATCGCCCTGTCGGGCAAGCTCCCGTCCCGGAGTTGTGTACGGAGGTTGGGTTCCTCAACTCCTCGACAGCTTCCTGGGAACCATTGTCTCCAAGTCAAAGCCGGTCCCCCAAAACCTTTTGCACGCCCAGAATGTTCGGCGCTTTGGTCGCAAACCTTCCACATTCTGGGTACATGATGGTACATGGTCATTCTGACATCATGTTTCCCGCCAACTCTCTGACAGTCACTGCGTGTCAGGTGGTGTGCTCTGAGCCGCTGTTCATGTCAACAACCTTCACGCTTCACCCGCTCTGAACGCCCTTCGTCGTCCTGTGATTGAAAGCGGGTGCGCCGTCCCCCCCTTGGTTTTGTCGATTATGAAAGGTGAGATCGTGGATGAACAAATTTACACGGTTAAAGGATGTTAAAGGGCTTCTAACAGTGCCGCTCGGAGCTGATACTGTGTACACAAGTCGACCATGCACTGAGTGATTAACCTGTAACTCACCTTACCGTAGCCTCTTGACAGAAAGTCCGCACCCAGAAAGCTGACCTATAGTGCCAAAGCAGAACAACATGTCATCTGTACCCGCCTCCGCCAACTTTGCGCGAAGTTGTCGGACGGCTTCCCTGATGCTGGCAGCAGCATCCTGCAGAATTAACTGTAGCTCGCAAGGCTCAAGTCTCCCTGATCCCCAGATCGGCACATGGATCGATTGCTCGGAGCCTCTGCGCTTTTTGCCTTCTCCTGCGTGAGTGCAGCAAAAGAGTGATCTGCAAAAAGCTACAACTAGCATCACAATGAGCAGAATGAAGGACGGAGAGTAGGCGGAATAGAAGGACGTGCCTGATTTTGTGCCTCACTAACCCTTTTATCGGAATGTCCCACTCCAGCTAGCCATGATTTCCGTAGCAGCACTGCTACATCGCACAGGAGCGCAGACCAAGTTCGAACAGTGCTACAAAATCTTGCTGCTTCTTGAAGCTCACCAGTGTTCAAACAAAGGGCGTTTCGCACAGAACAATTCTTGGACGGCACCTCCATGCTGGTACACTTCTCCTTCCACTCTTGTGCTTCTTGAGAAGCAGCAGCTAAGGACTCCTGGCACATCCATGGCACACCGAACGCACACCCCGCCCTTGTTCCGGACGTTTCACGCGTGGCTGCGGGTTCAGTCGTGTCGGATTAGCTCGGAAGAGCTGAGCGCTTAATGCGATCTTCTGCTCTTCACACCACTTTCTGTGCTAGCCTCAAGCATCCTGCAGAATTAACTGTAGCTCGCAAGGCTCAAGTCTCCCTGATCCCCAGATCGGCACATGGATCGATTGCTCGGAGCCTCTGCGCTTTTTGCCTTCTCCTGCATGAGTGCAGCAAAAGAGTGATCTGCAACAACTAGCATCACAATGAGCAGAATGAAGGACGGAGAGTAGGCGGAATAGAAGGACGTGCCTGATTTTGTGCCTCACTAACCCTTTTATCGGAATGTCCCACTCCAGCTAGCCATGATTTCCGTAGCAGCACTGCTACATCGCACAGGAGCGCAGACCAAGTTCGAACAGTGCTACAAAATCTTGCTGCTTCTTGAAGCTCACCAGTGTTTAAAACAAAGGGCGTTTTGCACAGAACAATTCTTGGACGGCACCTCAATGCTGGTACACTTCTCCTTCCACTCTTGTGCTTCTTGAGAAGCAGCAGCTAAGGACTCCTGGCGCATCCATAGCACACCGAACGCACACCCCGCCCTTGTTCTGGACGTTTCACGCGTGGCTGCGGGTTCAGTCGTGTCGGATTAGCTCGGAAGAGCTGAGCGCTTACTGCGATCTTCTGCTCTTCACACCACTTTCTGTGCCAGCCTCAAGTATCCTGCAGAATTAACTGTAGCTCGCAAGGCTCAAGTCTCCCTGATCCCCAGATCGGCACATGGATCGATTGCTCGGAGCCTCTGCGCTTTTTGTCTTCTCCTGCATGAGTGCAGCAAAAGAGTGATCTGCAACAGCAACAACTAGCATCACAATGAGCAGAATGAAGGACGGAGAGTAGGCGGAATAGAAGGACGTGCCTGATTTTGTGCCTCACTAACCCTTTTATCGGAATGTCCCACTCCAGCTAGCCATGATTTCCGTAGCAGCACTGCTACATCGCACAGGAGCGCAGACCAAGTTCGAACAGTGCTACAAAATCTTGCTGCTTCTTGAAGCTCACCAGTGTT